TAACTTAATCATAAACTTAAGATGAAACTATAATTTTTTATGGTAATGTTCATGCACGCGACTTAAGGACTTAAGAGTGATTTAAGAAAGTCATAAGTTGGCCAACTTTCAATTCTTCGTGCAAATCAGGTTCTGCGACTTCTGCGCATGTTCATTAGACATCTTAACGAAGACGAAAAATAAAATGATTATTAGATAGAGGAAGATGGTAGAAAGAACCGCCTTCGTCATAAATTGCCAACTGGAAACGTCGATTTTATTCGAATTATGCTGTGAATATCGCGACCTGGAAATTATTCTAATTATTTTAATAACTCATCGTTCAGTTCAGAATTAAGATAAACTACCGAATTAAATTCTCGAACGACGATTACCAAGATAATCAATACACGTTCTACACTTGTGTCTATCTTTATGTTAAGATGTGCTTAAACACCCAACAAATATTTTTAAGGCAATATTAAGTTCAGTCTAAAGTTAAGACTGAGTTACGTCGTGCATGAATTCACCAAAACCCACTTGGATTAGTTGTTACTGTAAATACCTATCCTATGAAAGTTAATATTATTCAAGTAAGCTATGGAAATGACAATTTGATATCATCGTACTTTCTGAGAATGGAATATTAGGTATTATTATTACTACTACTAGTATTACTACGATAACATACTGACCGTAAATGGCTTCACTCCATGTATAAACGTACCAACAAGAGAATCTAGAGAATCAAGCATAATCATTGACCATATTTTTATCAGAAAAAACAATAACGTGTGTAACAAAATATACCTTGAGCCATTAGTTATACATAGTGGTATAACAGACCATTACTCAATTCTCATATTTATAACTACACCCTCTGAAACAAATCAAGCATCAAAAAATATAAAGGAATACAAAAAAATAAATTTTGATAAGTCGAAATCAAAACTACAAATCGAAGACTGGAATGATACCTTATCATGTGATGAAACAGAGGAATATACGATACCTTCATTGTCAAATTGAAACGATACTTATGCCAAGCAACTGAAACTGTTATAGTACATAGTAAACTTCATCGTAAAATGAAACTGTGGATTTCAAGTGGTCTTATAAACTCAATCAAAACTAGAGACTATCTGAAACGAAGGCTTTTGAATGAATACAGTCCTGAAGCCAAAATAAAATATGAAGAATATAGAAATGAACTAAATAACTAGATAAGAAAAACGAAACATCAATACTACAAAAACTAACTGCAAGATGCTAATCGTAATTGCAGAGACGTGGGAAATAATTAATGATATTTCGAATACCACATCCCACAAAAACGATATAGAAAATACAACCATCACCAACGAAAATGGTGATTGAATAAAATAACGAAGAAAAAGCTGATATATTTAACAAATTTTTCACTAACATAGGAATAAAAATGGCTAACAATATCAAAACATTGATTTACCAAATATCTTTTTAGAAGAACATATAGTGGCACCCACATTATTTCTGGAACCAACCAATGAAAGCGAACTAATCTTACTCATTTCGAAATTGAAAAACAATTATACGCCAGGACCAGACGGAATATCATCGAAACTTATTGGAATCAAATAATTTGATTGAGGTTTCTCGGCCGAGATTTTCAGTGTTACTCCATTCGAGTTTGAAGGCGGTCGTAGTTTGGAACTCAATCCTAACGTTTCGACAGCACGAGTGGCTGGCTTCTTCAAAGGTTTATTCATCTGGATGATTCACCGATGATTGGTGATTTCTATTTCGCAGGTTGTATCAATGTTGACTCTGGTAGTCCGCCTCTCTTGTTGAAGCATTGTTATTGGCCGAAGTGTTGTTACCTATTAATGACGTAACATTGCATTGCGCTGCCGTCACTTTAGCATCTTTTAGTATGGGATTCCAAATCCGGTTATGCGTTACCGCCTCCTCCTTTCTGTTGTAGTTTTCCGTATGTTTATAGATTTATTGCAAAATCATCCATAATCAAATATTGAACCCACTTGTTCATGTAATGAACCTATGCTTAAAAAACGAAACTATTTCACATCAGCGGAAAGATTTAAGAGTAACTCCTGTGTATAAAAATGGCAAACATAATTGTTGTGGCAAAGTAATTATCGACCAATTTCACTGATTAACAATTTTTCGAAATTATTCGAGCAGACAGTAAAATTTTTCAATCACGTCATAACGAAATTGCTATTTCGTTATCAATAAATCCAAATTGCTATTTGGATTTATCAATAACAAAAGTACTGAAAATGCCATACTAGATTTTGTTGAACAAACAGTGAAAGCCTTGTAAACTTCGTCAAAATGCCTAGCTGATTTTATTGACCTTGCAAAAGCATTCGATACTGACATACTACTGAGAAAACTCTTTGGATATGGCATACGGGGAAACGCTTTACCATTGATGTAAAATTATTTATCACTAAGGACAAATCACGGGTAAATATCGGTAATGAAATCAGTGAGTAGTTGAATATATTTGTTGGTATGCCTTAGGGAACAGTTTTGGGATCAATTCTGTTCCTTGCTTACATCACAGATCAGAAATTTTCAGGGGCACATAATTTGCTATGCTGATGACGTAGCCTTAATATTCGAAGGTGAAATATGGTATGATGTTTTACATACTGCAAATAAAACTGCAGAGAATAGTGATGTGGTTGAATGATAATTTACTGTACTTACATAAACCTAGTTGGGAAAACAGGTTATTTTGTCATTGTCCCGCTATTGAGAAAACAAAATCTATGAAATATTTGGGTGTAGTTAATGACAACAATTTAAGATGGGATGGTCAAATGGCACAAGTCATTAAAAGAATGAGACTTCTCATGCATACATTTTACAACCTCCGAGACATGCTCTCAAAAAAAAAACTTGCTAAAAGTATATAACTTTCAAGCAAAATCGATAATTCGGTATTATCCTATAGTACGGGGTGGTACTTTCAATAATAAACTGCATTATTTACAATCGGTACAAAACTCGCTACTGAAAATAATATTAAAAAAACATTGGCGCTTCTCAACGGAAAAACTTCACAAGGAAACAAAGTTATTGAATGTATGATGTTTGTACGGCTACCAGTGTTCAATATAGATATTCTTAAACATTAACAGATGTAGAACTAATATACCTAGGCCCACAAGATTCTCCAAATATCCAAATACCAATTTACAGAAAAAGTCATAAGCAGATATTCATCTTTTTCTTCATTCCAATACTATTGTAAGAATTTACTGTTTTGAACAAATTTATTTCTAACAATATATTACTATCACAAACTAATTTATATTCTAATAACTTAGCAACTAAGGCCTAATTCATCTTCACTATTTGAATTCCTTGTTAATCGCTCGATTCGCTTTCTGAATTCAACTGCGCCCTCTGGACGAGTGGCCGGCCTTTTATATCGGTAACGATCTTTGTAGAATTCTGTAGTCTGTTCGGTACTGGCCTAGACTTTTCGCGGCGGTTTCAGACTGCATTCTTTCGCAATATTCTACATGCTTCCAATAAACCTGAAGAATATCATTAATATAAATGAATTCAAAACCGTCGTAAAA